AAGGGGGATCTGGTGCTTAAAGACGCTGCTGCTGCTGCTTTAAATTAGGGAATGCGTTTACAGTACGACGACGTCTGAATCTTTCTGCTTTGTGAACAGGATACAAACAAGGCTTTCGTTTTGATGTGATGCAGTAACAAGAACAGACTTTAAAGGCTGTTTCCTGTCTGTGCCTTTTAAAGGTGACATCTGTAATGTTTTTGATGTCTTTTTGCTTTATTACTTAAATACTTTCTCCTGTCTCTGATAAGATCTAGACGGCTAGATTGTAAATATTATGGATTTGTGGATCTATCAAAGGACGGCTATGTTTTTTTCCCCTCTGACAGACACTGTAAAACCCAATAAGTTATATAAAAACTGATCGCCTTAAACCTTTTAAGTTTAAATGTTGATATTTATGAGTACTCTTAACTTTGTCCATTTGCATCTACAGAATAGAAAAAGCAATTACAATGGCAGTTAAATGACAAAAGACAGTTACCTATTTGAGTTTTGGAATTTTAGTATGAGTTGCATTTGAATATTAGGGCTGCAACTAACGATTATTTTGATAATTGATTCTGTCGATTATTTTGTCTGATTAATCAATGAATCGGATAAAAAAAAGAAAAAATAACAATAATTTCCAACCCTTTATTCAAAAACAACTAAAATCTTTAAAAAGTGCACAAATATGTTGCCCTTAAACATTCCTAATGCACATCGGCAAATTACATTTGAATGGACTGTTAGACTTCCATAGACTTTCTTGTTTTACTAGTACTTGTATGTATTTACATGTCTAAAACATAAAATAAGCATTGGGTGGTTAAAAACACTGCAAAATTTGTGATAATGTGACACGTCTTTCTCTGGCTCAGCACCAGCAAACTCGCCAAAGCTTATTGGTCTTATTGTTCACTCTGCTTTGCTTTCAAACTAAAGTTGTTTTAATAATCGAATGTCTCTGCGTTGCGCGGCTTGACAAATCGATTATGAAATTAATTTGCCAACGCTTTTAGTAATCAATTTTAATTGAATTAATCCATTCATTGTTGTAGCCCTAATAGATATATACACTAGATATCGCATACGAACCCTGAGCATACGTCAATAGCCCCACCAGATTTGTACCGTGCTCCCAGGACAAATTTTTTTCAACGCACTAGTCAAGACTAAGACTAAAGATTAGGTGAAGATCCAGGACTTTATCGCTGTGTACGGGTGTAATAACGAGTAAACAAAGTGTATAACATTTCATAGGTAAGATTTTGTTTAAGTTTTTATGTTACAAATTTTTGTGCTAAACAAGTATTGGTGATAATACAGCCACTTAGTGAACTGATCATAAGGAAAGTAGCACCAACCCCCGCACTACTACAGTAGGCTTATGCTAGTTTGCTTGAATAAAATAAGCAAACAATGTAAATGAAATATGACTATGCTGTGGTGCCAGAAACTTTCATTATTGTCGACTACGTCATGCGTTCATAGCTGAGATTCATTTACAAATCAATCGCTCCCTCCATTAGAATGAGAAGTGAAAGTGGAAAAAATGTTTCAGGACAGGTATTAGATCAAATTTAACAGGGAGGGAGGAAATACATCTTCATGCACGCAAAAACACCCTCTTTATCAGCAATGCCCATGTGGTCACTTATCCATCGATGTAGAAAAGTGATGTAAAATGTCCTGATCATACATATATATATATATATATATATATATATATATATATATATATATATATATATATATATATATATATATATATACTGTATGTGTCTGGCTCTGGGTGGCCAGTCCTCCAATTCACCTTGGCCCCACATTCATTTCAAAGGAGTGATACCCTGTACTAAAATGGCGACTCTTTTGAACCATTCCTTCCATAGACACCGATAGCGATAGCGTAGGTGACATCTAATGTAAATATGTTTGAATTGCACCAATTGAATTTGACCTAGTATACCTTTTAATATCAAATGCTGTTTAATATCGCATGAGATGAAAAAAAGACTATTATGCTAGTATGCTGAAGAATACAGTGATTGCCCTTAAAATAAGGAATACATAGTCTTACTGCCCAACTGTCCACCTAACCCTTAAACCCTTAATCTTCAAAACAATGACATATTAGTAGCAGAAACCCTTTCAAGTTTTAAAGTAACATGACATAAAACACTAACAAATCACCTTCTATAAAAATCTTAAACGAAAGATGAAATTCATCTTTTTTAAGCTGTTACACACTGACAGGCATTAAAGGCAAAGACAACAAAACAGCGATTTTTTTTTTTTTTAAGCTAACTGTATTCCATCCTCTTTTGTATTCTACTTCCGGAAAGCTTTCCAGCGGTGGCAAACAACATTTGTAATTCTGTACTGTACTTAAATAACTAAACTTTATATTTATTATTTTAGGAAACTTTTACTTCATTTTAAAACAGATGTTTTTTCATTTATTTTTTTTAAACTTTGTGCGTAAAAACGTACAGTATTTTGAAATTAATCGTCACACTTTGAGATACGATAATCCCAAATCACACTGAATTATTCATCTTTGAACTAAATCAATGGTTTCCAAAGTGCGAGTCAGGACCCCCTGGGGACAATGATGGGGGTCGCCTGGTAATTTCCAAAAATCTTTTCTATGTTATTAAAACCCTCCTGGATTTTGTCTACCCAAGTTCAAAAGCTTCCCAAATCCACATGCAGAGGTGTAAATGCAAAAGTTTGGTATCATTTTAAAGAAAACCCGTTGAATTTTCATAAAACACTGTTGGAAGTGATTAAAATATTTGTATATGTTATCTGTGTTATAATGAATCCCTACAAAAAATACGCTGTAGGTTGCTGTAATTAACTCTGTTGGTTCTGCACATGTCAGTATGAAACTAAGAAAAAAGATAAAAGTCATCATGATCTATGCAAAAGTTATCCTGTTCCAACTGATAAGAAAATGGAATCATTTATTGCGGTATTAGGCCAGTATGGACCTTTAAAATTTAAAGAATGCGGAAGTAAATGACATCACACACCAGTACTGCGTACACAGAGTTACTATTAAAATTACAATATTTTATCCATAACCTGCAGAAGATAAAAGTAGTATATAATAGTTATATAAAAAATAAGATGCAAATAAAAAGCCGTCAACTTTTCTATTATGTTGCCACCCCTGGGGTTATTCGCTAGATTAATGACACAGCAATAGTGCTATTTGCAGCAGATAAATTTTACGTGACAATGTTAAACTTTGACACCTTTACGGTACTCCCATACATTAAAAATAAAGGCCACAAACTGAACGTGGATAATGATCTCCAAAAATTTATTTGGAAACCAAGAATGGTCTTATGCTGTAAACATTGTGTCTACCAATTTCGTTAAATGAGGTTAATATTACTATAACAATTATATGGTTGTTAGACTATTGTACTATTTTGTGTTGTCAATATGCTTGTGGTTATATTGTTTCAATTGGTGTGTGTGCACCGTTGTGTGCAAGGTTTATATATTTATAACCACCTCCAAGGATAATGGGGGTCGCAAGTTATTAGAATTGTTATTTTGGGGGTCACGAACTGCAAAGTTTGGGAACCCCTGAACTAGAGGGATCTGGTTGAATCTGTTATTGAGTTATTAATTCACTGATTCAAATGATGCAGTTAAAGTGAGTCAAGTTAATGACACACTAGCTGTGTCTCATTTAAGAGGCTGCATCCCCCGAGGGATGCTTTCGAAGGGTGCTGTGTCATAGCGACGAAGACAGTCTCATCTCAAAACCATTCGAAGGCTCCTTCAAATGGAGCCTTACAATGTGTCTTTAGTTTTCCAGGTAATCAAGAACACAACCGATGGATCCTTTGTGGCATCGAACATCCCAAGATTCATTGCACGCTGATAACGGCAGGACGCTTTTAAAAGAAAACTCCAGATTAAATGTATTTATTTGGTTTATTTTGTTTGGATATCTAAACACTGCAGCTCTTATGGTTGTTAGGTGACCAAATTTGTCCTCTGTAGGCTAGATATTCCTATTTCAAAATGCTTGGTTCAGCTTGTGTAGACTTCGAAGGATTCACCTTTGTAGTCTGCATCCTTCGGAGAATGCCACCTCTGAAATAAGACAAAGCTACTGAGTCTGCCTTTACACTTGTGCATTTTGGCTTTAAATGTATAGTTTTTGTTACATTTATGCCTGGTGTTCACACTACTCTGTCCTTATTGACCCGTGAAAACTGGACATGCAAAGGCCACAAGTTGGGACAGGCCTATTTGCAGAGCTTAACACAGATTCTTTTCTCTCTAAAGCTACTATATAGACCATTTTGGGGATATAAACAAAAACAATGGTCCCAATGTATTTTCTGTTTTACATTTTTAATTTCTAAAGCTTCCGAGAATCCAAAAAGAGCCACATATTGAAATATAATGGTATGAAATCTCTTTTAACATTAAGTTAGGATTACATTGCCTCTTGTTACAGTTGGGAAATAGTTTGATAAGCAGGAAATGTTCATGCGCCAATGACTTGACCACATTGAAATGGTCTATAAGGAGGAACTCACCCACTGACAGACTCTGCCATCAGGGATGTTCACAAAGTCCAAGTGATACCAATGATGCAGAACACGGCCAGCTGAATCTAAACAAAGCCATAGTATTTGCTGGCTGATGTTTGGATTGCATTGGATGCATCATTGACTGACTGAAAAGCTATGATGACTAATTGATTGACTAAATATGATGACTATAATGACTAAATGACTGGAAACTGAACATCTGAAAAACCAATGGTAATGATAAATTATCTGATGTTGCTCTTATAATGGCCAAAACGATTTTAATACTATCAAAGCTCAACAGCACCTTGTTTTTCTGTTCATTCTGTTAAAAAATGTAGCTTTTTAGTCAGTTGAAAGTCAGGGAAATTGACATTTAAATGAAATGTGTTTTAATGTCAAACTGTTGTCGTTGTCTTAGTCGGTTTCAGTGACATTCATTTGTATTTGCAGATTATCCACCATCGTCAGCTCTGATCAGATTCTTGTTCTTCATGATGGCCGGATTGCAGAACAAGGAAGGTCAGTAGTGCATGTACATGTGTATCGTCCACCATCTGTGCTTTCAAGAAAAAAAAAAACATACTGTACAGAGTCAAACAACAAAATGACCCCCCCCCCCCCCCTCAGTACGTTCACATCCAATATAAAAGAGGAAACGTGACACCCTCTCTCCTAATTGAGTGAAATTCCTTTAGTTCGGTGGAGAGTGAACCATATAAGACGTGTTGGGACAGACGGGGGTCTTCTTCTTCACCCCTAAGAAACCCAAGATCTGCGTTTGAGTTTGTGTGCGTCCCAGAGGCGGTCGTCTTGTTATCAGTCCATCTGTAGTCTTAACCCGAGGGGCGTCTGAGTGCGTCCTCATCTTCCCAGAGACAGGATATAGTCTCTCAGTGTCCGAGCGGTCCACACCCTGCCCGATCCGTGTGTCCTGTCTCGCTTTAGGCCCTCAGGTGCTACTCCTTTAAACCATAGTGAGCATCCCGCTAATGGACTTCTCCATTCATCCTGGCCGTTCAGCCCCGGCGTTAACCCTGCACTCGCTGTCCTTCACTTCTAACCCTTTGATATATGAGCTTCAGCCAACAGAGCATCCACAAGACACACACAGCCGTCAGGGATGTAACTCCACACCTCAAACATTCAACCCTGACTGACACCGCGATGTAAACACGAGCCACGCAGGCTTTTAACCCACAGGAACAGCGTATCGGAATACAAGCGCTCACAGGAAGAGAGCGAGGTGGGAACGTCCATTCAGGGAGGTGAAGGGTTAATGCTTTCGGAATAGAGGAATTAATAGATACACCTTGTGCTGCAGCTTCCTGAATAGAGACTGCTGCGCTCTGGGAAAAACCTGGGAATTTAATGGGGATGGTGGATGCAGGGGTCATATGGTTGTGGAAAGCATGAAAAAAATATATGTATGTAGATATTACAAATAAATATGTATGTATGTAGATATTACAAAATGTATGTAGATATTACAGATGTAACAGTATGAACATTTCATATTATTAATATTGTGATCAGATTTATTGCAGTTATCAATATTATCGTAGTTTTATCAAAATGACTTGGTGCCCTATCATATACCCAGCGTAATAAGGTGCAAGAAGTGTTTGGCGCTATGTGTAGCTATTTTCAGACCAGCGCAACCCTAATTTTCCCATTTTTCACCACATTGTTTAAATGGTAAATCCATTTGTGCCGCTTTGTGGACTCATGGGTGTCCCGGTCTAGAATGGAGTTGTATAAGCAGTAAAGAGAAAGAGAAAGTAAAGAGGCCTAATGGAGGAGGCTCGTTCTTTATCCTCATGCTGCAGATGGTCTGTTTAATCGTTTTTCTCGCTAGTGAAGCATTCAGTTTGTCCACTTACTAAGTCGGCCATTTAAATAGCAAATGCTCCATGTTGCAACCAAACTGAGTCTTAAAGGGATTGTGAGATGACACTATGATTGGTTTAATGCAGGTTATGCTCAAAACACACCCATAATGCATTAAGAGAATAAGCACAACCCTGTTAGTCTATATATATATATATATATATATATATATATATATATATATATATATATATATATATATATATATATATATTTGATATATTTGTTATAATATTATTCATTCATTGTGGCAATTTGCAATTTGCAAATTGTGCAACAAAAAGGTGACCACGAAAGATGGAAATACTTCAAAATATCGCATATACAGTATTTAGTTTCTGAAAGGTTTAGGCACAAGCCAACAGTTTGGTAATGCTGTCTGATCCTATAATAATAATAATAATAATCGTTTTTATTATGCACTGTAATACCGTATACTGACGTAAAATAGCGAGGACGACAGAATGATTTGAAGATATCAAAATTTGAGTATCACCCAAGCCTAACACTAACCTTTAGAACATTTACAATGGTTTACCTTGAAACTGGTAATCGTGAAACACTTGTAGATATAATCATTCTAGTTGTGTTCTGAGAGAAATAGTCAAGATGTGTTTTATAATAACTTTATAGTGTAAACAGTGGAAAATACAGAAAATAATTTGTTTAAAAAATGTCCAGTAAGTACAAACAATTGGAAAAGTAATAGTAATTTTTTAAAGGCTGTAAATCTTTCTAGTTCTGCTCAGCTAAAAACATGTGGATGTAATGTGATGTAATGTAATATAATACAATAGAATAGAATATAGAATAGAATGAAAAAAAAAGTCATAAATCATACTAGTTTAGCTAAAAATACTGTTTGAATTTAAGATCAAATTCAATTCTATTCTGTTCTATGTACTGCAAACTTAATTCAATTTTCTTAATGGCTTAAAACTAAAGTCATGAATATTAGTGATTATAAATTAGCCTAGATGAGTTGAAAACATTAAAGTAAAATGCAAAGAAGGGCAATTTATTGAAAAAATATATTTTTAAATTTAGCAGGATGATGCTGGAGTTTTTATATGAAACTTCTACTGTGATCTTCCATTGAGCATTTTCAGACGTTCTCTCACTCCCAGAGCTTAACACCTCATACTGTGTCTGCATCACTTTTGATGTCGTACGTCCATGTAATTGATGCCTCAACAAACTTGACCTTTGACTGGCGTAACTGTTTTAGCAATCTGAGAAAATGAAAGAAAACAAATGGGAAAGGTCTTCAGAGTTTGCTCACCCCTAAGTGATCTCTGGAGTCAGAAAGACGCTTTCATTTTCAAGCTACCGACCCCCTGTGAAGTTAAATGGCTCTAAATTCACTTAAAGGCAAGTCAGTCCACTTTGGCATCCATCTTGGCAATGCCTTGGGCAGTTGATTTCTGTCTAGGTTGTAGTCAAGCAAATCTTCTATTTAGCCAGTAATAACTCATATAATATCTCATATAAAAAGCAAGCAATAATATCAGTAACTTAAGGCTGTGCTTTAAATCCCCCTGAAATCCCCCCTGAAATAAACATGCAGTTTCTTCTTATCGCCAATCTCTGTTAACGATCTATGACATCATCATACCTTTCAGCTTTTCATTTGATCCTCTGACCAATCAGATGCTCTTACATGTAACAGAGAATCCATACAGGGTTCATCTACATTTACGTGTTACAATATTTGCTTATATAAAAACATATTAAATTGTAGCCAAATCAGCCTTGATCTAAACTCATCCATGTATGTTGGAGAGTTGGACTCTCAAACAATGGACATCTACATTTGGACTGGTTACCACCCACCCACGTCATAGCTTGTTACCATAAAGTTGTAGCTACTTTGACACTCTCCGCTTTTGATGTGAACACAGTTACATTTTTCGAGAGGTGTGTCTGTGTCAGCCACGGCGAGTGCCATGCGACTACACAAAGACTACACCTGACTATACCCGTGTGCTTGATGCAGAAGTATAAATCAGCCGTAACGGCTAATATTATACACAATGCATTGCATGTTGGACATTAATTTGATTAGAACTACAAATATGGATAAAAAGTGTTAAACTACAAACAAAGTGGGCGCACAAGACCAACGGTTAAGTGGAGAAGTTTAGATAAAGATGTTTGAATGATTCTTTATTAATCTAATCCTCTGGAACATACTCATTTCATGTTTTCCACATTATATTTAACCTACAACAACATCATGAACTTTTACAAAGGCATGTGTGGCCATTAACTTCAAAATGCTTATTTATGCAACCCCCTAAGGAGATTTCTCTGCATGAAAGACCTGAGACCTAACTTGCTGCTGCATCTCCTGATTGGAAATTAAATATGAAAGAAATGTGGATGATGTGGCAAGTTGACTGACAGGGCACGTAACAAGCCAACATAACAGTCCATTAATGAGGAACTAGTATGTCCCAAAGCTTGCATACTTTTCTGTTACACACACACACAAAAAATTACTTACTTTTAGAACATATCAAGGTAGATGATTTGGGATTCCTGTCCTTCAGCCACCATATTTGTTACTCCAGTTTTTCTCTGGCAGATTTCTATAAGTGGTCCATCTGCTAATGTTGTCTCTGACTGCTCTCTGTCTGTAGGCACGAGGAGCTGCTGGCCAAAGGGGGACTGTACGCAGCCATGTGGTTAAAACAGCAGCAAACCCCAGAGTCAGAGGTCTCCACAGAAGAACAACCGCAGGAGCCGTAGCAGAGCGGCTAACACTGATGGATCAGCAGTGATGAATGATGATGGCTGAAATCAATCAGGAAAATGGTAAAAGAGCCCACTGAGCTCCAGAGTTCATCTCAGACACAGGGGCACCAGACTGCATAGAAGCAATGAACTATGAACAGTGTTTCTGTGGGAAAGGTGTCATTAAAGTTCCACCAGCCATTGAGAAGCTTTAAAAATGTTAGTTCACCCAAAATGTTCATCGTTTATTTAAAAGTGTAAATGACTTTCATCTTTAGAAGAAGAAAAAATTGGGAACCAAACAGTTTTGGTCACCAATGAGACAATTATATGGATGGAATATCAAAATATCTTTCATGGTGCACAACTGAAGAGTATCCATCTTATAGGTAATGGATATTGATTTTATTTTTAGGGGGTGAAATATCTTCTCAATGTTTGGAGAACACATTAGCATAAAGATACTGTAATTAGGTGACTATGTCAAGTCCTTTCTGTTACATTAGTTTTTTATATCAACACTTTGTTTACACCCCTCTCAATAACTAATGACTGATTAGATTTTGAAGTATATCGTTTTGATCTACAAGTGGGAATTGTGGGTAATATGCTCAGGGTTGTCTTTCTTTTATTATTATTATGCTGGCACAATGAAGTATAGTAATGTTTTACATTTCAGTGTCACTGTTTTTACAGTCTTGAGCGAATTGATTAGGCTAAATGTACAGTTAGTGTGTTTAATGATCGATAATATTTAAATTCAGAAACATGTAGGCTGTGTGTAACATAACATGTGTATTTTTTTTTTTTCATTCTCTAAAACGTAATTTAAAAAGACCATCAGACCTCTTTAGGCTATGCCAAAAAACTTAAACCAAAATGTGGATGCTTTTCAAACCACAAACAGTCTATGCCACTTTGCCCTTGATGAAGTCCAAATATCTATCATATGTTATATATCAACTTTTTAAATGTAGATTTAAAAAAATGAACATGGGAAATACTAATAAAAGTTATTAAAAACTAGTATTTTCATTTATAGATGAGCTGAATTTGATCTTTCTTTTAGATTCATGTTGTTCTTTTTGAATAGTTTTTCCTCATTTCCCAAATTTATTAGAAAAAGTATTGCTTTGAAAGTATTAAATAAGAAATTTAGAGCTCAATTCCAGTTCTACCCCTTCACTAGATAGCCCTTCAAACGGAGATCGTCTACAGTTTAATTTTTTGGCTTTTTTAAGAATTTTTACAACAAACAAACGTGTTTTAATACATTCATAATGCTATTTGTGTTTTACAGTCATGCTTTAAAAAACAATAAAAAAAAAAACTGCAAAATTTTAAACCATAAACATAACTCCTGAATGGGAATGACGTTTTTAAACTGTCTGATATAAGAATGTTGCTTTCTTGTTTTAACATGGATGAATACAGCCACGGTGTAAATGCACAGTACAGTTACGATCTTTTTGCCACATTAGATCATTAAGGCAGCATTTACACTGCATTGTTTAGGTGACTCGATTCCATTTTTTTTTCTCCCATGAATAAATGAATTTATTTATTTAACAGGGACAATGCACAAAAATTACATTAACCTCAAGGAGGAAAGATGCATTGTGCCAGGTTGTAGCAGGATTGCTAATTTCCACCTGCAGTCCCTGGACAGGTTAAAAGGAAAACAATAATATCCACTAAATTAAAAAAGTCTAAGTTTTTAAGCATTCAAGCATAAACGTACATATAAACTATAACACTGACAACTCAAAAACATCTCACTCTGTGTATAAATCTGATTTGACAAAAAACACTTTCTAGTTTGACGTGAAAACATCTTATAATTTGTACATTTGATTATTTCTGTTGGGAGAGAAATGTGGTACAGATCGGCTGTGGCCCATGTACGTACGTGTAAGCAGGAACAAATCACATGGATTCCGATTTACTCGAATCAGATTCAGGCCTTGTTCATATGTGGAAAATTATTCGTTATGAATCGGATAGGTGTTCTCGTGTCTGCTGTAAAAGCAGGTAGATCAGATTTTCGTCTGTCAATGTGAGTCGCGCACCATTAAAAACCATAGCGAATGACGTCAAGTCTGACACTTTCACTTCAGAACAGACTTCAGCAGAGTCCCAAACCTTAAATCTCATACACAAGGAACTACACAACTTTTATATTGTCATATAGCACAGGTATTTAAGCATGTTAACGAGAGCAAGAGAGCGCAATATAACCAATATAAACTAATATAAAACTAGTGTATAGCTACATCACGTGCATAAATCATGCCAAGGACATTACATCAACATGCCTAAAGGTTTAAAAAAGCCTATATATCAAAAGTAGATGGACAAATGAGAACCTTTCTGTCATAAACTATACATCAATAAAGAAAAGAGCACTTAGTAATTATCAGCTGTTAGTCAGCGCCGCTCTTTTTTTCTTGGTCATTGCGCCTTTGCCGTGTGCTGTGTCGGTTGAGAGTCACTTTTAAAAGATGATGTAAGCAAATCGGATACAGTCACAAAATCGGAACTGACCATCAAGATCTGCAGTGTAAATGCAGCCTAAGATAACAACATATTGTTGCCTTCTGTGATTTTCTGAAGAATAAGACCAAAAAAAGAACGTAACTGAAATAACTACAGCAGTCACCATTGTTGAGCTCATGTGAAGTAAGAGCTCGCAACGACATATGACATTTGTGGGTGTTGTCCCATTTCTTAGGGGTAAATTTTAAAGCCTTTCCCTTCACACTGTTTCAAGGGCCAAGGTAAAAATTTTAATTGGGCTTAAAGGTGCCATAGAATCTAAATCTGTGTATTACAAGTTGAATAAGATTTCAGTCTGTGGAAATGACATACAGTACACTGCTCCTCCTTCAATAAATCTCATTTAAACAAAAGGCCACAAAAAATACATAAACCAGAACACAACACTTAGTTACAATCCAGATCATTAATATGCCCCTTCCCTCCATCTTTTGATGGGCCACAGCATTCCTGGTGAGATGACAACGATATAAATGTTTCCTTGTGTTTAAAGTTTCAATTCAAAGTTAAAATGTTCAAAGCTTAATATATTTACTATGTATGCAGGACTCTTATTGTGAAAACACAACAGGCGTTAATGTTCTTAGTTCTAAGATAATGAAACAAGTAACTTTTGGAAAACCTCATATAGTCAAAGATAATCCAAACACTATATATGGGTTTTAAATGTATTCAGCACACCCCCAAATAGGCATGATGTCTGTTAAGCTGTATCTTATATTAGTTTTAATGTGTACATTGTAAAATTTGCTGTGTGCTTTTTCCCCAACTTGATTTCACCAAGTAGGACATGTTTCTGGATTGACATCTATGTTGATCCTGGAACAACATTCCAATCCTCAGAATTAGGGGATATGTTTACAGTTTATGTTATGTTTAGGCATACGGTTAGGTTTATGCACTTCTACATGAATGTTATGCTACTATTTTGGGAATTATCTGATTTTGGGAATAATTTAGTTGTTGTTGGGTTTAGGGGTAGGGAATAGGATGGATTACATTTTCGAACAAAGGATCAACAACAGATCTCTGTCCAGGATCAACATGTTAATTTAGGATTGCATCGTACTTGGCAAAATCATGATATGCGTGTGTTTGTAATGAGGCAACAGCGATTTAACTTTGTTTAATCCTTATCTTAGCATTCAGTTCTTGTGTGATTTTTCTGGAGTGAAAGGATGGCAATAAGCTTCATAGGACAAAGTTTTTGTTTATTATTCAGACAGGGTGATAATAGTATGACAATCTGTTTGTGTGATCTGTTTAGGTTGATATATGAAAACACATCCAGACAATTGTTTAATCCACAAAAAAAAAAACAAAAAAAAAAAAACTGAAAACTCCTATATTTCTTGTGGTTAGAATTATATTTACCCTTTATTTTATCTATATTTTATTACAAAGCTCACTCTTCCCTGGCTAACGTGACTATTTTCAATGATTTAATTGAAATGATTGTCATGTTACAGGATCTACTTAATTTGTTCATATATATATATATATATATATATATATATATATATATATATATATATATATATATATATATATATATATATATAGTATAAAACTGGATTTGTGTATTTCATGTATTTCAGAGTACATCATAATTTGTGAGCATCAGTAAGCAGAGCTCATTATTATTCACAACCCTTCCACATAGGGTAAAAACAGAGCACATCATTGTAAGTGGACATGTAAACCCGTTTCTGGGGAATTTTTGCAACATACCTTAAATGAAGATTTTGGATAATTACAGTTGAAGGCAGAATTATTAGCAGATTATTATTCTTTTTAAAAATTTCCCAAATTATGTTTATTAGAGCAAGGAAAATTTTACAGCATGTCTGATAATATTTTTTCTTCTCAAGAAAGTCTTATTTGTTTTATTTCGGCTAGAATAAAAACAGTTTTAAATAATAAAAAAAAAAAAACATTTTAAGATCAAAATTATTAGCCCCTTTAAATCCACAGAACAAACCATTATTATACAATAACTTGCCTAATTACTCCATCCTGCCTAGTTAATCTAATTAACCTAGTTAACCCTTTAAATGTCACTTTAAGCTGTATAGAAGTGTCTTGAAAAATACCTAGTAAAATATTATATACTGTCATCATGGCAAAGATAAAATAAATCAGTTGTTATAAATTAGTTATTAAAAATATTATGTTTAGAAATTTGTTGAGAAACTCTTCTCTCCGATAAATAGAAATTAAGGGCTAATCATTCAGGGGGACTAATAATTCTGACTTTAACTGTATTTAAGTATATTGTATCAATGCATTCAATGGCACCTTTAATTAACTCATTTTAAAAGTTAAATACTATTCCAAAGGTGATTTATATTAAAGGGATTGACACAAATCACTGAAATATTCGGGAAAACAAAGAAATAATGTGTTTGGTAACTTTGTAGAGTTGCTGCTGCATTTCATGGAAACATTACCTTGGTGTTTTGTACAAGACCATCTTTTTTATAAACTTTTTTTTTTCTTTTCTGTACAATATGAACAAGTTGAATTATTTTGTTTAAAAAAAAACCCAATAAAGTCTGCAAATAAATACCAACATGACTATGTACAAAAGTTAATTTATTTTTGAGTATTTACATCTTTTCACTCAAGCTACAGTTTAACACAGACCACAACACATATAATCCTTTAAGACAACTGACATTAAAATTCAATCATTAAGTAACCAGAGATAAATATTTACAGGGTAACACATTCCTGAACTATACAAAAACGAAAGATTTATCTTTATTGATTTAGGCTTAGAGTTAATGATTGACTACTATGCACTGAGGTTTGATGGGGTTTTGGCTCAATCACATGATGGGAAATGGAGGAAGGAGTGGGAATTCATGTGGATGTATACTACCATTCAAAAGTTTGGGATCAGACTTTTTTTTTTTTTTTTAAGAAAAAGGAACTAATACACTACCCGACAAAAGTCTTGTCGCCTATCCAAGTTTTAAAAACAACTAATAATAACTTGACTTCTTGTTAATCATTTGGTATCCGAAGTGGCTTATATGAAAGACAAAGGCCTCAAGATTACGCTTATTTTATCATAATAGAATATGATTATGCCCTAATTTTTAGTTATTTAATTAGGACAGTAAGGTCTGACTTTGCTTACACAAAAGTCTTGTCAATTAACAGAAAAAAATGTACAGTATAGAATATAAAAATCATGGTGCAGTGGAAACAGAATTAATATTGTGTATGACTCCCATGAGCCCTGAGGACTGCATCCATACACCAATGACTCAAATAACTCATTTATAAAGTCATCTGGAATGGCAAAGAAATCATTCATCTTCAATGCCTCCTCCTTCATCTTACCCCAGACATGCTCATTAATGTTCATGTCTGATGACTGGGCTGGCCAATTCTGGAGCACCTTGACCTTTGCTTTCAGGAACTTTGATGTGGAGGCTGAAGTATGAGGAGCGCTATTTGAAGAATTAGCTTTCTCCTGTGGGACCTGTGACACATCAGGCTGTTGTTGTTGCCATACACTCTGCAGATCTCTCGCACGCCCCCATATTGAATGTAACTCCAAACCATGATTTTTTCCTTCACCAAACTTGACTGATTTGTGAGAATCTTTGGTCCATGTGAGTTCCAGTAGGTCTTTTGCAGTATTTGTGATGATTGGGATGCAGTTCAACAGATCATTTAATCTACCTTCTGCCACTTTTGCAAATGATCATCTAGAAGTCAAGTTATTATTTGTTGCTCTTACAACAGGGATCGACGACAAGACTTTTGTGTACTTTTATTCAGCAAGGATGCATTAAATTGATCAAGATTTATAGTGTAGCTAAAGATTTCTGTTTTAAATAAATGCATTTATGAACCATCTGAAAATACTGGAGACAATGCAAGACGGTGTCTATAAAAATACCAAGCTGCTTTTTTTAACATTGACAGCAATACATTTTGTTTTGAGCAGCTAATCTGATTCATGTATATCTTTTTATTGGTAAAGTTGTTTTTTTTTTTTGTTGTTTTTTTACAGTATTACTAACTTTTTGTTCAAGTAAATGCATCCTTGGTAAGAATAAGACAATTCGAAAAGCATTTGTTTTTAGAAGTAGAGTTGAAGCACTGCATGAAACGATCGTCCCACTATATGTCATTTCTAAAGAATGTGTATGAATTCCCAAAGGAGCCTGAAATACCTTCTCGTCACTGTCAACATTATCAGCGGCAGACATTTAAATGTTTGCGGAGATAAGAGAATACTGCGGATGGAGCGGTTAGCACAGCGTGGAAGAAGAGGTCGGACTTAAATATATGCTTGCAGAGCTCAGCGTCTGCTCGGGTCCAGACGTGGTGAAGGAAACATTTCTCATGACTAAATCATGCTGGACCGCCTTGTCCCCTTACTGAGCAAGGAGATTTGTCCTGAAATGTTCAAGTGAGTGTGAGGTGTGTTTCTGAGTGGCCTTGTCACCATTGTTCAGTTCCAGTTGCGCCCTGTGCAGTGACCCACGGAAGAGCACTCTGGTAAGGGAGCGCGGATGCCCCTCTGCTGAACCCCTGTGGCAGGCGAAGAGAGGAGAAGTTTCGCATGGGACGCTCCCAACGGGATGCCTTCTATGGAGTGGCAAGCAAGGGAACTGAGGTTCAAAGTGAGGACATGTCAGACGCTTTCTCTCTCTCTCTCTCTCTCTCTCTCTGTCCTGCTTTACTGCCTCTTCTTAAGCGCACATTATGGAGTCTCTGTTCCTCAACAGCTTGTCAGGGTCTATGTGCATCACCGGGTGAATTAAGTGCACACACGTACACACAGGTAGATTTTTACGTGTGTGGGGGTGTGTGTGTGTGTGTGTTGGTGAGAGGAAAGGGCTGGTGGCGGATTTTGAAGTTTGTGCATTACATAAAGTCATTTTTTAGGACTACTTGTTGGGTTTTGTTTTTAATGGCGGTAGTCCATTGGAGTGTCCGAATTGCATATTGGAGGCGGTTTTTAGATTTTTGAAAGTCCTTGAGGTGGTCGGTTCGCTCAATTCCTGCTGATGTCAGACTTTGGCCTTTTTTGGTACCACAGGGCGGTAGGCAGGTTCTGGCATCCCATGTACTCCTTCCTCATTTCAGCCTCGGTGAGGGCCGGGGTGGAGTTGCATGGAGCCCCGGCCAGAGTCACGTTCAGCAGACCCAGAGCTGCATCACCCAATCGGGACGGCACTGGACTCTGGTGTCAGATTAAGCAAATAGTTAAAGAGTTTAGACTTTGAGTTAAAACGGTTACCCAAACAAATGAAAATTCCCTCAATTTCCCTCAAGTCAACTTTTATGAATTTCTTTCTTCCCAACACAAAAGAAAATGTTCTATAGCAGCGGTTCCCAACAGGAGGGTCTTGGCCCAAAAGAAGGCCTCAGCATGCTCTGTGTTTCTTCTTTTTTTTTTTTTTTTTTTTTTTTTTTTTTAAGCAGTGTTAAATTAGAAGAACGGTGTTGCCTTAGTTCATTTCATTCCCTGGCTGAACAAAAAAAATCACAAATTTGTAATTTGTTCTCTTCAAGAAAGACAGAGTCTCACTGATTCGCCTTCAGCAGCTAATACTAATGACAAGCATGCTGGACCCACGTGATGAAGCGCCAAGCATTTTGGGTCCAAGCACTAGCAATACTGGAAACACGAAATGCAGGAAATACCGAGATAGTTACCTGAACTATGCTTTTACTCCATTTTCTTGAAACAAAGAGTCCCTGACAAGAGTCCCTGAAAGTTCTTGCTAACAATTGCATGAGGTTGTCCAAATAAATTTGACATTTGCAGACAATTCATATCCAATACCGCGACAAGTCCAGAGCATGTTTTGCAAAAGAATTGACACACACCCAAAATGAGGTGTGACACACCTTAAAATGAGACGTCACAGCTACTGACAATGAACTTTTAAAAAATTGGCAACTAATATAGGGCCAATTTAAAGGCCGAACTGATGTTTGGATTTTATATTTTATATTAGGCTATTATTTACTTTTATCATTAAATGTTACCTTACATGGGCCTTACAATATTTTCTGGGGGAAAGGGGGGTCTCAGACAAAAAAAAGGTTGGGAACCACTGTTCTATAGAATGTTGCAGAAAACAACTATTAACTACTTCTCCATCCATATGTTTTTATTTCCATTAATCCAAAATGAGCATAAAAAAAAGATTTTAAAAATGCACACAAATGAGTAGAATAAACTTTTAGCCAATCAAAAAAAAAAAGTGTATAATCTACTATAAAAGCACATTTATTTAATAAATTTCAACATTTGCATCGCATCGACCCACAGCTACTTCTCCTGTGGCAGCAAAATCCATTTTCCTTTTTGATATTCAGTGTCAGTTTATCAGGAAGTAGTGATATTGTTCTCTGGAGGTTCTGGAGGTCCAGTATCCTATAGTTTTTAGCTAAAACGTACCTCAACACATCTGCAAGGATGTTTCTAGAAAGCAAGAGCTTTCAAATTAAGAGCTTGAATAGCTAGCCTAGGTGTGTCTGATTGGGGTTGAAACTAAAATCTGCAGGACACCGGACCTCCAGACCGATATTGAGAACCCCAGAACTAAACCTTTGTAAGAGTTTTGTGTGTGAAACAGATTGAAATCATTTCACTGAAAATCCTAAATGTCAAAGTTTTGACTTCCTGTATTAACATGCACTTTCAGTGATCCCATCACAAGTGCTCAGCCATTGAATGAATGAACTCATGTCAGTCTGACCAAGCTGAAAAGAAAACAATAGAAAAGGATGTGGATGGCAACTAATACGATTTTGATTGTAATCTGTGTGTTTTTACACAAGTCAGCGTAATATTGTTTTTGGTGCACTTTCTCACAAAATGTCCCATAAACATTGCATTTTAGGTCAGTAGACTGAGATTAGCTGATCTTTTGTGGCTGCTTGAATCCATTCGGCCCCATAGTGTTTACACTATGGAAGCAACCCGATATAGCACATATTAAGCTACCTTTGGCATAGTTGAATGTGTTTTAGATCCTGCTTTTAACACCTGTATTCACCATTGTCCTCTTGTGTTCATATCAACAACAAATCTGAATATTAGTTGCCAACTAGCCTCATTTGTCTGGTGATCATGCTACTTTTTGAATTTGGGCCTGTTTTGCAGAAAAAAAATAGTTATAACACACAAAAAGTGCTACAGAGTATTTCTACAGATGGCACTTAATGATGTAGGTCAAAAGCATGTTTTTTCTTCTTCTTTACAACCTTAGTTCCTTTTCACTGTTTATTACAAAAGCATTTTTAAGATATTTGGTATCACTTTACAGGTTCCATAAGCTAAACTTATTAAAGATTATACCATTTTTTTTTTTAAATACCATGGTTCATTGTTAGGTAAAGTTTATTAAATTTTAATTTTGATTATGTTTTAGTAAATGTTGAATTCTTTAGAATAGTTTTTCATTGATTAACACTGTTAGCAAATGGAACTGCCTGTTTGTTTCTTTGAACAAAATTATTTTCCATTTCCATTGTCTAAAATTGTGAATGGTACCAATATAGTCAACCTTTTTATTGGTTCTTTTCCATTGGAATACCTAACACAATTCTGGTGCCTAAAGTGTGGAGCTTTGATTAGTTGACATAAAAATTTTCAATTGTGCATGCTACAAGAGCCACTATTTTTACAATATACAGTAAGGTTGGTAGGCAAAAATGAACCATGGTTGACCCAGGAGGTGCAGAATGAGCACAAATGGAATTGATTGCTATTTTCTGGTACACACCGAGCCTATCACGTGACGTCAATCTCTACTTATTAACACATGCCATGCTTATCCAGTTAGGGTACTGTGACAGTGAAAATTCAAGTCAACCGTTATTTATGTAATTACATAATCTAGTTTGCATATCCACATTATTTTTGATTTGTAGAAGATACTGTAGTAGAATAATATCCCAATTTAGTGACCACTGAACATATGAGCTGAAGAATAACAAACTATTGCACTGCAAGGTAGTGTGTTTATGATGATTATATTGAATTAAAATATGATATCGAATGCCAGTTTTGCGTTATCAAGCAGCATAATGGACTATTTTCAGTCCAGCTAAGACAAGGGTGTCCAGTCTATTCCTACAGGGCTGGTGTCCTGGAGTTTAGTTTAAACTTGCTTTAGTCTACCTCCCTGAAGTTGCCTGAAGACATTGGTCAGCTAGTTCAGGTGTTTAAATGAGAATTGAGGATAAACTTTGCTGGACATTGGGCCTCCAGGAGCAGGATTAGATACTTCTGAACTAAAATAACTGGAAGCGGATCACATAAATACTTACAAATTCCTGGATAGCTTTAGAAACTTTTTTACATAAAAAGTTTAGCCATACTTACACTGAGATTTAGGCCACATTTTGGATGTCTAGGAAAAAATTGGGAAATCCTAAAGGATTCCTATAATGCAAGGCTAAAACCTTTGGTCTTTGATTGCAAGTTTGGTTGCAAGTGTTCGCTGAGAGCAAAGCTCACTGAGAGTTTCTGGCATTTTGAGAATATTTGAGAAACATTCCTTCAGTATACTTTGTTTAAAATGTGGATTCATTTTGTATGACTTTTATTGACTTTTGATTTTGTTTTGATTGATGACACAAAACCCCAGATGAGTGTTTTGCATGTATCCATTTTTCCATAAAGTCTGACATTAAGTCAGCTGAAATCTTACAGTGTGACAGGAAGATCATGTTCCCACCATCACACAGCTTTATCAATTAATAAATTCCGGCCATTTAAAGCCTCTTGTAAAGCCTCACCTTACTGAGGTGGTCTATGAGGCATTGGGCCGGGTGCAGAGAAGCCCAGAACTCAGCGGTTTGCACCCAGGGCAGGCCGTTCAGCAGCACAACATTGACGTGTTTGAGAGATCCCATCAGCCTCTTGCTGAGCGCCCCACTGTAGCTCTGCTCCACAAACAGCAGCACTCGACTGGCCTTGCACCCGGCCAGATCCGCCAGCAGTTCGCCCACAGAGTAACGCTCCTTCAGATCTGCCTGAGGATTTAAAAAAAACAAGACATGTTAACATCAGCTATCCATGAGAGTCCACACATCACAGTGGTTTAAGAAATAGTTTCTTGGCATAGCTTGATGTAAAATATGTGTAATGTAAGGACCCTTGTGGATGTTGCATTTTTAAACAGTGCCCACAGCAATAATGAGAACATAAACATACATTGCTGTTCAGAAGACTGGGTTCTGTAAGAAGTTTAACATTCAGGTTTTTAATCTAAAATACCTTGAAAACAGCAATATTGTTAAATTTCGTTTCCTGAATTGAAAATGTAAATAGAAAACAAAATAATATTAATAAATCATATTGTTTTTGTTTTGTTTTAGAGGCAGAATTTTCTACATCAATACTTTTTAGTATCACATGATCCTGTAGAACACATTCTAGTAATTTGATAATTTGGTTGTAAGCAGATTTTTGACACCATTATCCATTTTTTAGCAATTTTTAATAGTATTTATTTATTTTAGACACATGGATCATTGTAATATAACATTATAAATATATTTAGTGTCACTTTTTATTACTTGAATGAATCCTTGCTAAATTAAAATATGAAAATAGTATGTATTAATCATAAAATAAAGTTATTACAAATGCCGAGTTCACAATGCACCGTTTTTGCTTGATCGCCAGGTTTTGTGAAATCGCTGACAAAAGCCAAAAATCGAAATATCTGAACTTGTCTGCAATTCAAAATCATGCTGTGTGAAAGTGTTCTGACTAAAAACAGCCAATGAGAGAGATGGATACAGGTCAGCTGAGATTTCTGGGAGTTACAGACCACAATATCAGAATAAATAAGCTTTACAGCAACATTAAACGGAAACAAAGAAACATTAGTTTAATCAGCCGCACATTGTATTATTTATTGAACTTCAACTATTTTTTTCTCTCTTTGCACAATGCAGTCCTTGTTCCCAGCATCTCCCCAAACATTTCCTGCTCCATAATCTTTTCTTTTTGGCCTTTCGCTGTAAATCACCATTCAGCGCACAAACCATTTAAATGGCTGATTATTTAAAATATTTATTGCAGGGTACCTTTTCCAGTCTTGCATGTACTTTAGAGTGATCTTGTCACTTCTTGTATCCGTTTTTATGTCAGAGTTGTCGAAGATTTGTTTTGTAGTCATGCAGTGTGTATCTTCCGTTCACAGATCTATCATGCAGTATGAACACAGCAGCAACGGAACGCCATTCTAGATAGTCATTCAGTGCGAAAACAGTCGATCTGATGATTATAGTATCAAACAGGTTGTGATTGTTTTGTAGTCATATAGTGTGTATCCTCCTGTCTTAGATCTGTCATACAGTATGAACACAGCAGCAGCAGAACACCACTTATGATAGGCATGCAGTGCAAAAACAGTCAATCGATGATTATAGTATCGAATAGATTGTGATTAACGGTAATGCATTCATCTTTCCCTCTATCCTGACTAGTCTTCCAGTTCCTGCTGCTGAAAAACATTCCCACAGCATGAAGCACCACCATGCTTCACTGTAGGCATGGTATTAGCCTGGTGATGAGTGGTGCCTGGTTTTCTCTGAATGTAACGCCTGACATTCACTCCAAAGAGTTCAATTTTAGCCTCATCAGACCAGAGAATTTTGTTTCTTATGTCTGAGAGTCCTTCAGATGCCTATCGGCAAATTCCAGGCGGGGAGTGACTTCCGCTCTACCATACAGACCTGATTAGAGAATTGCTGCACAGATGGTTGTCCTTCTGTAAGGTTCTCCTCTCTCCAGAGAAGAACACTGGAGCTCAGACAGAGTGACCATTGGATTATTGATTACCTCCCTGACTAAGAGCCTACTCACACTATGCCATCCGTACCGTGCTCAGGCCCGTTTCCCGGATCATTTGAGAAGTGTGAGTGCGCTGAATCGGGCTCAAGCACGGTTCACTTGGCCGGCCCTGGCCCGGTTGGAAGAGGTGTGCCTGAGCGCGGTTCACTTAGGCTTTGGCGCGGTACGCTTGTGTGTGAGTGCAAAACGCGCCAAAGCCCAAAACTGAAAGCAAGACGTGACTTTTAAGGGGTTGTTTCATATGGATTTATTAATCATTCTTACTGTTCAGTGATCGCAAACTGCCGTAGTTTATTAAAGACAAGAACTCCTCACAGCACGACAGCTGTGCGGCTTCAGCAGACCTCCTCATTCCTGCAGCACGAGAGCTTTATGATTGTTTATGAGCGCCAAAAGTGGTGGATCTGTTCGGCGAAATATCTGACAGCGTGTCACCGCATCGCCAAGGACTGTTTGGCGAAATATTTGACTGCATGTCAATGCATAACAAACGACTGAAAGGATATAACTAGAGAAATCTCCACTGTGCTACTGGGTGAGAGCGTATGGCAAGCCGTTTTAGCATTTAAACCTTGTTCTGACTATCCATAAATATATTTAGAGATATCTCTAATTATATTTTGACTAGTCATAATTATAATTCGACTAGTCAGAATGAAAATTAGAGATATCTGCAATTACAATTGTACTAGTACGAAATCAGATTGGAGATATCTGCAAATATATTATGACTAGTCATATTCCTCCATTGACTTCCATTGAAAAATATTTGCAGATATCTCTAAATGAGTTTTGACTCGTCACAATTGTAATTAGAGATATTTCTAAATGAATTTTGACTAGTCAAAAATCCAATTCAAGGTATCTACAACTGTAATTTGACTATTAGATATCTTCAAATATATTAGTAAAAATCTCTAAATATGACAAATTAAAGATATCTCCAAATGTATTATGACTAGTGAAAACTCAGTTAGAGATATCTCTAACTACAATTGTTACTAGTCTAAATTCATTTGGAGATATCTCTAATTATGATTGTGACTAGTCAAAACTCTTTTAGAGATATCTGCAAATATTTTTCAATGGAAGTCAATGGAGGATATGGTTTGAGTGCGGTCAGTCAGGGGAGACGGGAGGGGGGACAAGCGTGCTTTGGCCCGGTTCGAGGCAACTGTACCTAGTGTGAGTACGGCCTAAGGCTCTTCTGCCCTGATCACTCAGCTTAGATGGCCGGCCAGCTGTAGGAAGAGTCCTGATAGTTCCAAACATCTTCCACTTACTGATGATAGACCACTGGAACTTTCAGAGTAGCAGAAATTTTTCTGTAACCTTCCCCAGCCTTGTGCCTTGAGATAATCCTGTCTCGAAGGTCTACAGACAATTCCTTTGTCTTCATGCTTTGGTTGTGCTTTGACATGCACTGTCAACCCTGGGGCCTTATTTAGAAAGTTGCATGCCTTTTCAAATCATGTCCAATCAACTGAATTTACTGTAGGTGAACTCCAATTAAGCTGCTGAAACATCAAGAATGATCAGTGGAAGCAGAATGTACCTGAGCTCAATTTAGAGCTTCATGGCAAAGGCTGTGAGTACTTCTGTACATGTGATTTTTCAGCTTTTTTACTTTTTATAAATTTGCAAAAAAAAAAAATGTAAAAATCACATTGTCATTATAGGGTATCAGCGACGCAGTGGCGCAGTAGATAGTGCTGTCGCCTCACAGCAAGAAGGTCGCTGGTTCGAACCTCGGCTCGGCTCAGTCTGCCTTCGCGTGGGTTTCCTCCGGGTGCTCCGGTTTCCCCCACAGTCAAAAGACATGCAGTACAGGGGAATTGGGTAGGCTAAATTGTCTGTAGTGTATGAGTATGTGTATGAATGAGTGTGTGGATGTTTCCCAGAGATGGGTTGCGGCTGGAAAGGCATCCGCTGCGTAAAAACGTGTTGGATAAGTTGGCGGTTGATTCCGCTGTGGCGACCCCGGATTAATAAAGGGACTAAGCCGACAAGAAAAATAATGAATTATGGGGTATTGTGTGTAGAATTTTGAGGAAATAAATGAATTTATTCAATTCAAGGCTGTAACAAAAATTTGTGGGAAAAAGTGAAGCGCTATGAACACTTTCCGGAAGCACTTTATATAGTGTGTATCCTCCTGTCACAGATCCATTATGCAATATGAACACAGCAGCAACGCCACTCATGATAGTCATTTAGTGTTAAAACAATCGATTCGATGATTATAGTATCAAATTAGTTGTGATATTTGTAGTCTTTTTATCATTTAATTATTATATGAATTTATTTTACATGTTGTTTTTGTGTGTTCATTTTCAATTGTATCACTACAATGACTGTAATCCATTGCAAGGCACATCAAGAGACTAACATTGATTTGTTCTGGCAATTACGCTCACGGCAGTTGTTGAAGTGAACAGTTATCCACACTTTCTACTTGAAGGAGAAATCAGCAGCTTTCCTGTGGGAAGCCGAGCGTCTGGTGGCCCTGATCCTGTGTGGTCCTTGTCTTTCAAGGCCCCCCCCCCTTTTGTCACTACACCCCGTCTGGGGATCAGGTTGTTGCCTTTGTCCCAAGAGAGTCTGTCCCTATTGTCATGGAAGGGCGAGCTTTACTGCACAGTCTGCTCCCTTCTGTTTGCCCCACTCTAAACATATGGCCAGGATTACTGACCACCTTTTGCGAAGGATTGCAGGATTTCGCTGAAGCGACATGAGTGTACTTTATAAAAGCCAATATAATTAAATGTGTGCACATTTTTCTGGAACAATTGTATTAATGATAGATGAAAGAGACACAAGGTGGATGGCTGCTCTATTGTGAGATGATAAAAGACCCGGTCTGTGTTTCCTAATAAGATCGAGGGCTTAAGATTGTGCTATATTTCTCTATGAAATTCAATCTAATCTCTTTTATCTTTCTTGTTAAGTAATGACCATGCTCTGGATTGTACATTTGCTGGTTAATCTCACATCACGTGTCACAGTTTCTGGGTCTAAATGCTTTTTCAGATGCCAAAAGCAAACAACAAATGGTTTTAATATGCAGCGGGGACAATAAGTATTGAACACGTCACCATTTTTCCTCAAAAACCATTTTATAATAAAGGTGCAATTCACTTGAAATTTTCCCTGGATGTTGGTAACAACC